GGGAAAGTAAATGGCGCAAAGGTGGGATGAGTAGGGAATGTGAATGGCGCTATCGTAGGATGTGTTGGCAGAACGAATGGTGGTGGTGGTGGGGTGGGTGCACCAGGAAGAGCAGCACCAGGAAGAGTAAATGGTGCCATGGTGGGATGAGTGGGCAGCGTGAAAGTTGGGTGTGTAGGCAGAGTGAATGGTGGGAAGGTCGGATGTGTTGGAAGAGTGAACGGAGCTGGAGTAGCCAACGCTGGTGGTGCCGGAAGTGGTTGAACTGGAGGAGGCTGAACAGCAGCTGGCGCTGTCGTTTCGACCGCAGGCAAGTTCAAAGCAGCTTTGTTGATCTTCTTAGTCTTCAACGGATGGGGTACCTTTTGTGTAGGTAAATCCTCCATTTGTGAAAGTACTGCATAGTCCTCTGATGGAAGTTCGGCAGGTAGATCGAATATGGTCGACTGGAAAGTCGGACCTGGTTGAGCAGCAACATATGCAGAGAGTATAACGACAGCGACGGCGACCGTACGCTGCACCATAGCGGGTCGAAAGGAGGTATGAGCGTCGCTTGGATTCCGAGAGATGACCACACACCGCCCCACAGGCAAAACCCGTTTCGAATCGCCGCCTGTGTGTCGCCCATCGGTCCCTTCTACGCACTTTTATCCCGCCCGTGGTAGTCGTTCGCGAGCTTAGAAAAAAACGGCACTTTCCAAATTCGTACCGTCTTCAAAACAAGTAGTTGTACTTAAGCAAGCTAGTTCCAGTCGTAATACACATTGAATTGACCATTTAGGAGGTGTAAAGTAGTCTGAGCGTTCATTCTTCACATAGAACTGCAGAATTTACTGCCAAAAAAGTATCCGAAGGGGTAACATAAAACTTAATATGTACTGGTGTTGGAAAAGGATCTGTACATCTCTGGATTGACATAAAACTCCCTCTTACTGCAAGTTGGAACCAGTTTCGGGGAAAAGATAACTTATGGTTGCAGCGGCTTTCGGTGCAAACTTCGCTTTGCAGCCTTGCGTCCGTCTCCACGAGCAGCCACTACTACCTGGGCCTGTAAAAGATATCCAATGCACCCGAGTCTCCATCCATGCCACCCAAGCCTTCCAACTTCCCACCGAAAGCAGTAGACTGCTTCCAGACCGATCTCGCTGGATTAAATCAGTGCGAGGATAGATTGTATGCACACACCTACACCTAGTACTCATTTAAATGCCCTGGTCGTTTCCAGTGGAAGTCGAGTGTTTGGCGCATCCTCGTGGGATTTTGGTTCTATTGATTGCAGAGGCCAAGTTGATAAAAAAGACAGAGAGTTCCTTAAAAGGAACGCTCTTACACAAAAAACAACGGATATCAAACAAGGGATATTGCAGGGGGTATGGAGATCGACTCCAATGACGTGATGGGTCGACCTCTGCGTTTCCGCTTGATGTCTCCGATGAACGTTCCTTAGGGAATTGCAATCATGGAAAAGAAATAATGGCTTTCAAGTTCGAGTTGAATGAAAAAAAGTGCTTAGATCCGAGCAAGCTTGGATGCGCCATGTACTTGGATTCCATCCTGTGTCGTAAAGAGGTCTGGGAACCTCTAGAGGATAAGCATGCGCTTGTGTGAGGGTACCAATGTTCTCCTCAGAACGAAATTTGCTTTCATGAACTATCAATTAACGACTGTGTAGGCCTGTCAAAACAGACAGCTTCTTGAGGGGGTCGGACGATTGAGGCAGAGGCCTTTGAACCCCCTTCGAAAGCCTGAAGTTGCCTTCTGCTAATCTCTCATTTTAGTCCAACTCGGCCGACGTCTGTACAACTGCATGACAGGATGAGTCATCAGATGGGAAGGAGTCGACCAACTCAACCGACTATTTTACTTTCCTTCATTTTCCAGACAAGGTGGTCCTGCGTCAAGCCCCAGAAGTATAGCCTAAACGAGCGGCTCACGCCTGCAATAAGCGTCGGACATGTGCCAGAAAGTACGGGAATGCAGAGGTACTTCCCTGAACAATATTGCTCAAAGCGCTGAAAAGTAGTGTGGTGAGATTCTTGCAGTCCACGGGGCTTTTAAGTGAGCCTAGAGCTTCGATTTGACACCTTCGCCTGTGCATAACTTTAAATGTTTTATCGACAGAACAGGAGCACACGTTGAGCGTACCCCTGAAATAATGAGCAGCCCCTTCAAAAGTAGGCAGAAATTGGTTTCAACTTGAAAGAAAGTTAAGAGCAGACGAGATAAGGTGTAGACATTTTGGAAGTTAGCCAAGCAAAGCCCATTGTTCTCGTGCCCCTTCCTATTGCCAGGAAACAACGCTGAACTCCAAGTAGTTGCTGTTTTTTTAACAAATTGAGATATGCTGTCTTTATCCGTTTCGGCGATCGACCAAAACGCTTCCACTTGATTTATTTCTCCAACTGACTACAACGCAGACAGCTTTTTATCTCTGAACATTGGTATTCAACCATAGCCTTCATCTACCTGCTCTTCGTGCACGGTAGACCTTGTAGGGACTTTCACATCCACTTCCTATACCAGTTTTCCTTTTTTAAACTTTGGCACCCTATAATCTTCAGTGCTACAATCCGGAACGCCAGCCTAGGGACACCTGCTTGTTTAGTTTGCGATAAATCTAGGCGTCGGACTTGTCCTATAAACGGCCCATTTGATGAAAACGCGTTCATCATGACTGCTAAGGTCTTTCTTGGGTTCCCGGATGCTTCGTTCTGCCGTCATGTTGAGGATATTGGGCATAGTACTGGTTAGATGCATTATTCCACCATAAGAGTGAATCCCACTCCTTTCCCGAAAGATATCACAGAATCGGTCTCCCAGTTGAAAGGAAAAACGAAAATTCCCAGATTTAATTTAAAAATGACCAAAGCCATGGGTGAACTTCGGTCTGAAGGCATCAAAGGATTCCACTCTTGACCTAACTTCATTCTGAAATACCTCTGTCATCGACGTGGGCTTCAAACTTTCCCTTTTTGACCGGGAGAACCTCCCAAACGGATGACTAAGGCACTAAACCAGCTTAGAAAGTGATTAGTCATGATTCCGGGGCTGTTTGGATATGAAGATATCAACAACAAACCGGTAGACAGTAGGCAACTGGCTTTCAACCACAAAAGCGTCAATCCGACGAATGGTTTTCAAATTCCAGAAGCTGAACATCAAAATGAGTCAGCTAAGCCCTCTCTTTAGTACATGTGCTAGAATGAATGAGCGAACGTGGTGTAGTGCCAAGTAGCGCGCTGTCGCACACGCTCGGTCACGGGTACGAGCCCCGCATTGATAACCGCCTAGGCCGACGAAGCCTTCCGTCCCTCCAGTGTAGATATCAGAACCGTCTGGGAGGATATAAGACTGACTTGTTCATCGGCTGATCAACACAATCTATAGGCCACATACGACGCATTCGATACGCCACTACGATTCTGATAAAGATCGAATGCATGGCTCATTCCTCAGACAGAATTGAACGATGCCCAAAGGCTCTGTCTAACCATCAAAAGCTCACAATCAGATCACTGGAGAACAAATCTATACAGCTAGTCGAATACAATGAATTAGATTTTTGTGCCACTTATCATGTTCAAAGACATTCTGCAATAAAAAAAGTTTGTCCACGCCCTCGCCCCATTTCTCTGGCCTGATATTAGGGTTTTCTCAAAGAGATCAGTTGTAATCTTGCATAGAACCTAAAACATAATCCGCTGTATTGCATTGATACATGAGTTAAGAAGAGGCCTATCGTATTAGACTAGAAGAAAATCTTTGCGGATTTCGGACGAGTTCTCGAACATTTACTTCTTCATTAAACAACCAGAAACTTCCAATCAACAGAAGAATCACCATTGTTATCTAGGACATACGCACAAGTGTTCTTCTCTCAAGCAGCTCCTCTATCCCCAACTTCTGGAATTCCGACCGCCGCAACAAAAAGAAATGGTCGATTCATTTTCGAGCTGACGACAATCGTCACACATACACATACACATACACATACATACACACACACCACTTTTGTGCTTGACATAGCGCATCAGTGTTTTGAATAGGTCCGAGGAATAAGCCGGATGTGGCATACTCTCTATCCGCATTCCATAACTCTGCTACATGTTTCGTTCGTCACATGTGGGCGTCGTGGAGTAAAAAGACAACCAGCCTTTTCGGGTGTAGTTCTCCCATTCACGGACCACTTTTTGCGAATGGCTAGCATAAACTGTGACAGTCACTGTAATGCCGGCTAAGGCAGTCTCCCGTAAATCGCTCCTCCTCGGTATGTGGTACGCCCGTCTTCGAACAGAATTCCTCCAGAAGCAAAGCGCTTCTACAGTCGGTCACCGTGGAATAGCATCCTTCTTGTATACAACGCGGATATACGTCGCAGCTCTCTGGCAAGGTTTTATGAAGGAATTCGTGGTACACACAGGATCGTATGATATTTTTATCCATTGTGAAGTTTGATAGCCCAGTACTCTTTACAAAGCCCTTTCGTGCTCACCTACGGAATCCTTCCGGAACATTCTATGAGTAGGGCGGAACGTTTCGGATTTTAAGAGAGGTGTTCAAACCGTTGCACGGCGTGTTCTCTAACCTTATAGTGGAATATGGTCAGAACGAACCATCGTGGTCGTCTTGGAATCTCTCATCTTACCATTAAACAGATCGAGAGCAGCCGTGGCGGTAGGGCATTCTAGCTAGCATCCAACTAAACAATGCCTTTGAAAAACCACCAAGAAAACGGCTCAGATAGAGGGAATACGGTTTTTCAAGAGAAGTGGAACGTAAAGTTTTAGATCGATTAATCGGAAAAAAGGTTACTTCCGCTTTCAGATTGGTCAGGGGCGGTACGACCAAATACTTAGTATTGGTCTCTGGCAATATGTAATTGACGTTTAGAGGAAAGAATCTTTTTCCTTCCATCACAAATTTTGGGAGTAGGCGATGTGGTGGCAGCTGACGCACAATTACACACATTGATACTGAGGATCGGAACCGGGATCGATATCCGCTCAGAGCAACCAAGCCCTCCATTTAACTGGTAGCAGGCTTGTTTGGTAAGATCAAAGCCCTCACTTATATTCACATCAGTTGGCCACCGGAAGACATTGTAGTGGTCACATACACATTGACCTATGTCACTCGATTTCGACTGAAAATCGAATGCTGGGCGCATTCCGAAACGAGATCAATAAGCGCCCGTCCTTTGTTGGGAATTTATGAAACGCGGAATTTATACCGAAAGTGCATGAGTATCACTGCAGCATTTCTGAGTATTGCTTCAACTGCTTGAGAGTGTTCTGCCGCTCATATACAGTAGCTTGCAGTGGACAACTTGTCGCGAGTATAAACTCAACATAAAAGTATAACATATACTCGGAATGTTAAACTCACGCTACACGTCGCTTACAATCCCTCGCCATGTCATTCGTTTTTCACATTGAATAGTTCTGATAGATGTTGTACCCGCTGATATCTGGAAAAACTTGATGGATCATACCCGAGCAATCGATATACGTCTATTTATACTAATCATACCAATCATGCTATGCATGCCAAGCAAAAACTCTGATTTCCAAGCAAAATGTTGCTGTCGTACCAAAATGACCTCAAAATTGGCGATGTGCCAAAGTGTTTTCCAGGATGGAAATATGAACAAATACAGAATAAAATCCAGAAGTAATTTGCTCCCGCTCATCAGATTTTCCAAAAAGGCGCGGGGATTCGATGCACAACCTTGATGGTCCAGAAAAATTATGGGCTTAAAGAAATTGGAAAATATGCAAGAAAAAGGAAGCACAAATACCGGAGAAGAGAGCACAGTTGGTGAAAAACGGAGCCGAATAATCGGTGGGGCGTCGATGGTAGATCAACGATCACCACATAGTGCGTAGTGAGAAAAGTGAAGATCAAAACCAATGAAATCTCAGGTCTCCATTCAGACGAAATATGCTTTTACAAAGCTTTCGATAGTGATTTTAGAGAAAGTTGACTGTTTTTTAGGCCGCCGAATGGAGGGAAAATGGATTGACTCTTGTTAGAACTTCCTCTACTCTCTCTCTTTCTTACTCTCTTTCTCTACTAGAGCTCTCTACGAACCTCAATATAGCTTAGGTTTTCCTATAGATAAAATGCGTAATGAAGTAAATAATACACGATTTGCGTTGATGTAGACTGCGTGGCGCATCACTGGAAAATTGCACTCGATCCTTTCGCCTCTTTGCAGAACCCTTGAAGGTCCTACCTTCTAATTAAGAGGAATTTTTGAAAACTTCAAGAAACATGGTTATTTAAATGCGGCACCTTCTCCCCGGAAATCGCGCCGCGATCGCGGCGTTTCGTAGTACTGCCATGGATGATTGCAGTAAGTCATACGAAATTGTAAGTCACAAAGCCCTTTAATTATTTACCATTCCTAAATAACTCCCTCTTTCCCTATTGATTGATCGGTTGATAATACTGCAAGAAGCGAGTTATTGCACGTTCTTGGTTATTGTGTTTACTTATGCTACTAGCTACCCTTCAGGTCCAAACAACCAATAAAAAGCAAGGCATCCAACGAAAAAAGGTGCTTTATCGATTGGCGGAGAGGCGGGCTGAATACGGTGTTTGCAGTCTGAAGCTGCGAGACAACTAATAAAGATTGGCCGCATGCGATAAAGCGAAAGTGGGAAATCGAGGGGAAGTTCCGTCACCCCTATCATGGAGGATGAGTAGCCCATGTGGGGGGCCCAAATGGATTGGTTGTCTTGATTGCAATTTTCCAAGAGGAGTTGATTCTACTGTCAACACTCAGCTGCTATGGATTTTGTACTGATTAGTTGTATTTCTTTATTTTTATTCAGTTCAGTTTATTTCTTATTATTTAATATTCTATTACAAATCTCTACTGGGCTCTGAAAGTTTAAACACAGATGTGGGATTGTACTGACACCGCTGGCAGTAGCTTTGTCCCGGACCAAATCCCAAATCAGGTCTAACCTGATCAGATCTTCGACCCCCCGGAGCCGAGCAAACTGGTTCCAAAGGGGTGTCAAAGGGAAATTTGGGCTTTCACATATGTATATCAAATGACCATCATCGAATACATTAATCTTTTGAAACCAGATATCTTTGTCATGATCTAAGCAGACTTATGTGCACGGTCACGATATGAAGTTTTGGAACACTTTGCCTTTCAGTTTAAGAACACCGCCTCTGAACGAGTTCTCTGTGGAAAGCTCAGCCAAGAACTCATGAAAACTGAAAAAATCTGAGGACCAGTGTCAGACAGACAGTTTTTTAGTATGTAGTTTCAATCTATTGCGCTAATCTCACCTTGGACCTCAGCTAATTATTGTCAGCAGGAGATCAACTCACGGCAATGAAAGGTCTCTAGAATATAGGGCTGAGTTCTAATAGAAAAGACTCAAAATCTGTTGGTTCTCGGGTAAATATAGGCTTGGGACATCATTTTTCTTTGTTGCCTCTTTTAAGGTATATCTGAAATTATTTCATATTTACATTTGGTCGGGGAACCACCAAATGGCGGTAGTGTAGTGCTAAACAGCGCTCCATCGAGTCCCACGAAAACCCGCCTATGCCAACCAACTCTATCATTCTTTCAGGGTCCATGGGCCCCTGATTGGTGTCAGACACTCGGCTGGGAAGAAGCAAGCACTGAGAGCACTAGTGCACATAGATGTTTACCTGCGCCTGTCACCGTATAGACCATAAACGGATTCAACTGCAGCCACTATGATTTGAATTGTCTATCGATGCGTGGGCGTACTCTATAGTTTAGATTGAACAACGTAGAAAAATTTAACCCCTTCACTTTTATGAGAAATTTTCAGAAATCTAATCACCTAGAACAGCCTCAGCACTACGAGAATCGCTCTCTGAGTAGTGAAATTGAGCCCCAGTTATGGAGTTTTTCGGTTCTGTGCAAGGTCCCGCCCTAAGTAGAGAAGTTTGCAGCGTCACAGAAAAGCTGAATAATCGTTTTGTCACGTCGTCTGCGCTCTCTCTCATGGCGCAGTTGCTCGTCCGTGCTAAAGAATGCTGAATTTCAGAGGGGAGAGTAAAAATTGCAATTCATAGTGTCTGACCTGGATAAGAAGAATGATGGCACTGTTTTGCAATTTGCAATCTGTATTCTATTGTCTTGTCCCTCCATCCCTCCTACGGTGGCTGAGCTGATGAAAAACTCTAAACGAACGAGTTCCTCTTGAACTTCGTAGACTTTGTAGGAATTTTATGCGAAGGGTCTCGATAAATTCTAGTCCTTGTATGGTTTAATCAAGTTTACCACCCTTTATGTCTTCTTGTACGGGCAGAATGAGCTCATAAACTTTTTTCAAGGGGTTTAATTGACAATTTCAAACCATGGTCACTGTGTGGGATCCGTATCTGAACGTGCTCTGTCAACAAATAAACGCGAACACCGTCAAGGCGGCTCCAACGAAGATGGCATTATGGTGTGTATTTATGCCTCAGCAAAAAGAATAGGAGAATTTAAAAAGTTTTCGGAGGTTATCAACCACTCCAATGTCGAACGCGGGGAACCTTTCATCTTTCGGGTTCATCTTTGCATTTTTCCTCAGTCCATTGTAGTAAAGCTATTGTACTTTAAGGTCACTCCATAATGCCTGACTTACCAACATTGAGTGTTAAGCTTGAATGGGTAATTCTAGAGGGGCCAAGATGTGCCACCACGGTTTATTACTTGAACTTGTCGCTAGCCGCGTTTGTACAGCCTGTCAGAGACGATAACTCACTTATTTATAAAGCAGTAACTTGGTTTGTCGGTTTGTCGATCTGACTGTCCGTAAAACTTTATGATAACGATAACGGTAGTGATATGGAAGACCTAACTCTATTCTACACTTTCTTCTTATATATAAGGCAGTAACTTGGTGGGTAGGCAATGGAGTAGAGTGGGTACCCCGAATGAAGTGAGTGATGTGGAGAGAATTGGTTACTTGAAAACTGTGATTTAAAACTGTACTGGCATTGGGCCATGTATGTCTTTACAGGAATCTGGGGTAATAATGTAGTTTGGAGACCTCCTCTCTTCTTCAACATAATTTTAACATGAGGAGGTCAGCCCATAATTATGCTCAATAACAATTCTTAACCGAGAACATACAGTTTTTGACCTTTGCTCCAAGAGGGAAGGGGTACCGAAGTAGTTGAGTCAATTGAATATTCAACTCAATTCCATACCCCTACCACGCCGCCCCCTCCCTCCTGAGGCTTAGCTTGAAATCATATTCTTTCGTCGGGAGCCGTTTCTGAATATAGGCCAGGTCGGCTACCATATAATTGTTCTTGGAAAGCTCTCTCAAAAGGAGAAGCTTGCCTTACTGTTGAAGAAGAACTTTTGTACTTATTTTGCATTTCTTCCATGCGTGGGACTGCTTATCTTGACCATAGTTAACGACGAAAGAAAGAATGATACTCTGAGAACAAGAAAATAGTTACGTCTTTCGTCCGACCACAAAGCCACAGCTCACGATGAAAATGATTTTGGGATTTATCCCTGGGATGAACCTGATCACGCAAAGATAAGAGATGCTGTCGGTTCGAAAAACGGCCTAGATAAGGGACCAAAAAAGCATTTTTCTGAAATTACTTTTCCGAATCAAATTGCTTCAGATATTCATTCCACGTTCACGTGCAAAAGAAGGAAGAAGAGCATCATTGCCCTGTCCTTGGACGTGTTATTTATAAAAATACAATAATTGGCAGAAATATAGCAATGAAATGTGGAAATAAATAAGTTGAGATCAGATATGAGAGAAGTGATATTGATGATGTACATGGATTCTAAATGGTGTCGAAATAATTACATTCGAATATCAACAAATGGGTGCTTTCGGAGCTCACCGACTGCGTTGCTGGCCACGTGTTAACAACGCTGAACACAGATCAATTCCGCCCACGCGGCCCTGAACACAATCTGTTCTGCGTTGTCAACACGTGGCCAGCAATGCCGTTTGACGTCAACCGGTTGGTTGACTGGAGCTATGCGCGTTGTTGAACTCTGAAATTAGCCAATAGTGACTCCGCCCTATGGTCCTCGGATGTCCCTAAAGACTTGAGCACGAATTTTTCGCGCGTACCACAAGACAAATTTTTGAATGATGGTATGAAAGACAACAGGCTGACTCCAGTCACAAGCATTTGGCGTTGAGCGCACGATCACGGAAAATTCGCACCGGTCCTCAAACAACCCAGTCATAAACTTCGTTGAGTTAACCCAAAAGGTTCAGATAGACTAAAGATGTATAGGCTTCGCTCAGGGGAAGCTCGCTGTTGTTCGATAGCGGAGCTGATCAGCTTAGCTTCCGTCGGTTTCCTTTCAGTCCGTATAATCGTCGGATAGACCGCACATCAACTGATGGTAGGCGCATACCGCAAGAAAGGTTCCTGGAAGAGGGATTTAGTGACGTAATCAACTTGAAAACGGGTCTTTCTCCTTCCCGGACATTGCTAATGACTAGAATTTGAAAAAAAAGAAACTTACCTATAGTATTTACTCATGACTGACGACTTTTTTCGTGAATGCCTAAGGCCGAGAAGGTGACCAACTTCATGTAGAATCACCTGAATGATCATCATATAATCAGAGCTTATCGTGTTATCCATGCACTACCAGATAGGAAAACATTGAGAGCGTTAGGGGTTTGGTCTATTAGGAGCACACATCGCATTGAGGCCAGCCTACTGGGAGGTGCTCAGGGGGCACAAAATTCGATAAGTGGCGTCAGCAAGCAAAATTTGTCAACGGTGCACATCTTGAAGAGCAGGACCGCCTCTACAGGAATGGCCGCCCCCAGTTCCGTCCGGTCTCAGCGTATCAGGAAAAGCGGAGACAACAAATCAATTATGAGAATTACTCGGTATCGTTTATCACGAGAAGTGTCGATAAATGCGTATTTGAGGTCGGTTTTAAAAGGTTGTCAAAGGCATGGCATTTCTCGAATTTGAAAACATACGTATCGCAAATCCACTCCGTCAACTCCATCAAACGACCATCTCTCGTCAGCATCCAGGTGGAGAATCCCTTTCGGTGGGTATTCTGAATGCGCCACCATACCACCATTACGATCGAATGCCTGAAAAGTCAGTCGTTATAATTTTTTCGAACTTTCTCCTTCTTTTAGAATGTTCCACATCTCTTAATTACGGTAGGGATTACCTCATTGTCTCCATGTTCGCCTCTAGCGAAAAGGATATCAATATCCACATGAGGCGGTTTCCTCACTTCGTCGCTACCGTCATCGAAGCCTATCACCTCATGAAATTCCAATCGCCCATCTAAGGCTTCCTCCCATAGAGCGAATGCTGTCGCTATTAGTGACCTTAACTAGAATTGCAACTGCTGTCGTGAGCGATTCATAAAATGACAATGAACAGTTTTAAAAATATGATAACGAGGGATGTTTATTGAGTTAAACGATTTGTTTGGAGTGCGCCATGCATCTAAACTCCATAAGAAATGTCGTCTTTGCCTTGAAACAGCAGCTGCGCAAATTTTAATAACTGTAGGCATTCTGGTTAGCCATTCCAAGGCTCTGGTGCTCCTGACGAATTTCTCCTTTTCTGTTGAGGGGGGAGGGGGGGGGGGGGGGGGGGNAAACTGTTGATCCTGAATATGATGTGGCTAGAAGCTGAAGGGACCACTGTTGTAAAGTTTGCTCACACGAACTCTACCCTTCCTCTTTTAGAGGAAGTTTGAGCTCTGGCCTGGAGGACATGAACGGCAGGGCCAAGTGTGAGCCTCCAAATTAAATGCAGCCCTGCACGACCTTTCCAACCAACCAAGTATCCTCTGGGCAGCTACGAAGCGACGTAGTAGCTCAACGCCTCTTCCACCCATACGAGTTCAAGGATCGAGGCAACCACTTCGATCAAAATTTCCTTCTGCCTGATCCCTTTTAGTTGATTGTTATCAAGTCCATCTAGAGGGTAACAACACTGACTTGAGTATCCTGTACTCCTCCTGAAACATAGTGAGACAATACGCTAAGAGGATTCTTCACATACCTCACTAATCGCCGGCTTTTTTCATTGGCGAGCAGATGGAATGGATCGCGAAACGACCAAGTGACTACCTTTTGATGCCATATCCTTCGTTTTGGAGCCTCGTATGAGCTGAAAATCCTGATGTTTGAATCATCAAAAAATAAAAATATTCAATTCCTAAGGAAAAGAGGGGGATATATGGATCTACATCAATCTACACATCATAAGGTCGTTCCAATGAAAACGTCTCCGATATTCTGAGTCTGGTTGCGCAAGTAAAACATGGAAATGGGATGAACATCGGGCTCTCCTTAGTTCATACAACCCACTATCTCTTCGAACTCGCAGCAAGCAAAAAAAGAAATAAAACGTGGGCTCTATTCAAGCCAATGATTTCTGAGCTGGTATTCTACAGAATCTCTGCTGTATCTCATATAATCATGGCTGGATACGATTATAACACGCCCATTAAGAGGCAGAACTGCCTGCGAAGGCGGATCTGTCCTCGAACGAAAGGCGGAACTGTTACCACTGCGAGGGTCGGGAAAACAAATTTAGAGCGCCTTTTGGAAGGTAAGTTTTCTTATCTATTAAAGTTCAACATTTTCATTACCTTATATGCAAAGACACCTCATTAATGCACTGCATTTGATGGGTAAGGTGAATCAGGAGAATATATTGAGAGCGAAAGTTCTACAGCAGGGTAAGTCGAAGGCGAAAGGACTGCGGGATAAATTCCGGTGTTCACACCCCTTCTGTAGGTCATTTAAATGTATTTGACTTCGGATAAACGAAATAATGAACTTAACATGCATTGATCGCATAGGTACAGAAGTTACACAGTTCCTGAGTGGAATGTTTTTACTATTGATGACGACTACATGGCTTATCTCAGAGATGAGCCTTAAAGATATTCTAGAGCCCAAATTTTCCCAATCTGTTCACACGTACACACGTTACACAATGTTGCGCTACATTTTATATCATTCTAAAAGCGACATTTCCAGGGGAACGCTTCATAGCGCACTCTTCTCGTCGATTTCGGCTAACAACCGGATCGTAGCGCTCTCAATAAGCCGTGCCGTGATTAGCATTTAGCAGTTTCCGTTCTGATCCAGTTCTCGAATAATCCTATAGTCACATTTGCGCAATCATTCTCTTACATGCTATTGTCGAGACGTAAAACCGATAGTAATGCGTGTCTCCGGCGATATCTTGGTAGGAGCTTTCCCGTTTCATATCATTATCTACTCGAACAAAGATATTTTTTTGGTTCTACAATACTTGTGGCTCTTTCCATTTCTTTCTGTGAATCTATACGCTATACAAAGTAGAGGTGAAATCGCAAGGTTGGAAACCAAGTCTAACGTCACACATCTCGTAGTGATCACATCGCATGAAGCGCTTCCTACGAATATGTCTTTTTTAAATACCCGGAAGATGGGTTTGCACGGGAAGACGACATGAATGATGACAAACAAAAAAATAAAGACTCAGTAAAAGAACTCCTTTGAACAGCCAAGTGGGCATTTGTTGGAATTGTCACCTTCTCTTCTCCCGAGCACGGTGCGCGACTTATCCGACAGATTCCCTCAGAAATCAGCTCATAAGAGGCCTATGATATAAAGAATTCCAGAAAAGCAGGAGCTAGTTCAAAGCTCGGCTTAAGCGACTTGGTCTTCCATGACTTTGGGGGTAGAGTGACGAGTTATCTGTTCCTGGTTATTGACTGGCGTCGACCGTCGCCTACTCATAAACGTCAATACAAGTTGATTTCAAAATCTCACTCCGAAACAGATAAACAAGATACAACCCTTTATTTGAAGCATCTATGTACTTCCTTCCTTCGCTATTGCGCAAAACCCCTTTCGAATTTATTTCGTTATCGAGGTTTCCGATCGTTATCGAGGTTTTCAGGAAACAATGAAGGAGAAAAGGCTGCTTCCGTCTGCTTACACTTTCATTTAGGGAAAAATCAAAGAAAAATCGTTTTCTGAACAGGACTTCAATAGTGGATTGATTGAATGGACTAGGAAGGAATGATAAATCGAATGTCTGAATGAGTTCAATCAAACGTCGAAAAGAACTGGATAAAGCAGATCGATTAGAACATCCTATGGGGTCTACAGCAGCTGCATTGATGCCTTGATCGCCTACGGCTTTACTTTGTCACTAGGACGGTCACTGAGAGCATTTCAGGAAGATTTTTGTAGAGTTCTATCAGTAGTTGTCCTAGATCCATACTCCCCTCCGAAAGGGAATGTTTCAGTCTATTCCAATTCCGATCTGATCATTTCTAAATGACTGAAATTCCTATCAGAGGTTGCGGATGCGCCATGCACTCGATTCGCGTTCTCAATAGCGTAGTCCAATTGCTTGGCCTTGAGACCATATGTTATCATAACAAAAACGATCCCACCACTGCTTCCAAAAGCGAAATCTGAAAGCGCCAATCCGACGTTGGAGATTTTAAAGGCCTGATTAGCAGAATTCTGTAGGTTTGGTTTGGTCCCAAATTGTTTGATATTAAAGCCTCTCTACAGAAGCAGTGGCTCCACTACCTCCTCGAACTAGTTAAAGGTGGGATTGATATTATCACTGGGATACGCAACATATCTGACTTGTCTCGAAATATTGGAGGTATTGGAGGGAAGATTTAGAAGGGATGCTTGGAACATAGGCATTAGCATGCTGAGGGGTCAAAGCTTCCTATGCGCCAGTCAAAATTCCACCGGTCGAGCCTTCTGAGCAAATATTTGCTATCAAATAAATGCTTCCATCTGATTTACTTGTTTGCGGGAGGGACCGAGAGTAAGAGGTGACCAGAATAATCCTTTCATACCCTTGCTCCGATCCCTTTATTCACACAAAACGTTTGTGGGCTGATTCCAAGAGAACGAGTCAACTAGCAATGCTGAGGGGCATGAGATAACCCAAAATTGAAAGGAATAGTAAAAACTCAAATAGGGTCGTAAAGCGCTAACCTAACTGATACAATGAAGCAGAATAGTAGCAGATGTGCTAGGAGACCATGCCGGACGGCCATCGATAGATATGTGAACAAACGAACGAAAGAAACGAGAATCGAAACCGATCGCAAGTCTCACTCGAGACGACATACGAAGAACCAGCTTGCTAGACGTGTTTGACATCGGAAAACCCGCTATCCAGTTGACCATCCAATTCAAGACCAGCCATACTCGTCATATCAGTTCATCGTTATTACATCGTAAATTATTAATGAAATGGAGACATATTCGCCGCTAACAAGTCCTCCAAGTGGGCGCCCAACTTGCACTTCCAATCTAGGTCGTGGAGAATATAAAGCTGAAACAGGTATGTACGATTATCAAGAGAGCCCAGACCATAAAGATATTGAAGATAAGTCTAGTTTGAATCAACCCACTCAAGAGCAATAAACAACTTACTCAATTGACTAGCTCGAAGAATTAGATCATAGGCTCCTGTACGGACTAGTATGAAGCTGAATGTGCTAAAATCCGAAGTCGCAGACAATCCCATACTTCAGATGCATTTACATTTGATACGGATCAACTGAGACCCCCATTCGGAGTCAGCTAGGCAGGAGCACGAACAAGTTGTTGTACAAGCACACGGTTCCTACAGTAACACCGTCGTGGGTCCTGACTTGAAGGAATGTTCATAATAGAAAGCAGTTCTCAGCCTATCTTACTTATTCACCCACGCCTGTTCCTGTTCAAGGTCGATTTTCTTTGGGTACGGAACATTCACCCAATTTTGGATGGACTCGACGAAGTTTCCCATCATTATGGCACAAATTTGAAGTTTTGGGTAGATAAGAAACATCAGCTGGCCCTAATTATCCATTCACTTAAAACCTGTGCCCTAATGAATGGCGTCAGAGCCTTTCGAATCACCACGAATTCCGCCGCGTACTTTCCAGGGTCCATCCTGAATTGAGTGGATGTGGATGGTGGGGCACTGGGGGTTCACACCATTTTGATCGCGTACTCCTGCTTGGGCTACACCGACGTATCAGTAAGGTTTCCTTTATTACCGTATTTTCAAATGTCCTCGACCGTTTACAATGCGTAGTTCGTGTTCAACTGAGGACTTCAGGCCCTCTTCAAGACTGGACTGTCATGTCTATTCGAAGTTGATCGAACTAATGTCGGTCTTATCCAATACGGATATCTCTTTTATTCAGATCCGACGAAAAACTTCACCCTTCGGGGGATGGAGTAAGTTTCTGGCTTTGAGGCCAGTAAACAAGTGATAATATGTACATACAAGAGCTTCCTAACCATTACGCCTTCTGATAACTCGTCCAACGTCCTACAATCTTTACATTTTCGGTGTATAAGCCAAACGGATAGAGCTTCTCGGCTTGATCATCCTTTTTTTAACAGTTCAGCGGTTTGTTCACAACCCATTTTTTGTATTTTTTACAACGAAGAAATTATTTAGAATACTTTATCAATTATTACAATTTCTTTTCGCTCACAAGGCCTTATGAGTGTCACAGTGTGTAGAAAATCACCCGGAAACAAGTGAAACGAAGGCTAAGTAAATCGAAAAACATTGATTTCATATACCAAACTACCATTAGATATGAAAATCAGTGAAAACAACACATGGAATGTGAAACGAAGTCGGAATGTACGGTCAAGACAGCATGGCAACTCGTAACGATCGATAAACAGATCAATATATCAATACATAAAAACATAACAACATCAAATCACCTAAGATAAAAAATGAGCACGATATAATAGCAGTGTGTGTAAATTGAGGAGAAGTCTGGTGGTGACGACTGTCCGGGTAAGGAAGAGAGCGTGCGCTCGCAAGAAAAAGAGGCTGGAATGTATGGAACGGAAATCGTCAAGACTAAAGCGCTGTTGATGAATGCATGAAGGCACTATAAATGGATGGGATGAAGTTTAGAGTCCAATTGTGGACATGCTCGCCTGCATAGTTATCGCTTTGCATCGTCGTCGTCGAATGGAGATGTAGATCAGCACGACCACGCAGAAGCATGTCACCGCCATAGCGCCAAAGACGAGGACCGTTCGTAGGCAGACTGCCGCTTCTTGAGTCACCAGTTCCTTGATCGTTTCTGATTCCATAGTTACACCTGCAATCGAAAATTCTCATGCTCTTGTTTATGAAAAAGTGAAGAAATCTTGGCTGCTTCAAAGTAGAATCACAAATTTCTTTTTTTTTAAAGTTGACTGTAAGGTCAGAAAGTGGTAGCGGTGACATTGGCCCTGTAGTTACGCCTACGTCGCCAGGTGCGGCAGATACATGCCGTTGTCTGACAAGATACATCCTAACTTCAGCACCGCCTACCTCAGCGCACATCCCGCCCACTACAGGGTAGTATCTTGAATATCATTCGAGAACTGGAACCAACATCCATTTATGCTCTTCAAGACCTAAGTTGTGGTGTTCTTCATTCCATCAAAACCCGTTTACGGACTAATTGAGTCCTTCCTGGATGGGTTCCTGCTCACTTCAGGTGTGTTTTTGACATTATTCCGTACATACCAATCATCCACAACTCGGTCCAACCACTTGATGAATGTTGGGATAGCGCGAACAAATAGAATTAGCCAAGTTAGAAAGGCATTATAACCAAATCTTGGAAATTAGCGACCCGCATAAGTACAGAAGACAAGAGATTTGGGAAGGGGTTATGGCGAATTTCATGCGGGAAAGCGAGCTGTTGATGAAAACAACATCAGACGATCGGAGACGAAAAGAAGGACTAACCGTTTCTCCAGTGATCCACTTGTTGCTGTGCTCGTTCTTCTTCTTCATCCTCTCGTACTCTGACCAACGACGAAAACGCTAATCGTTTTGGATCGATGATCTGATAAGAATGATTTGAGTTGAACGTGTCACCATGACAATAAGCTTAAATGCACCTTCTTGAGAAGCTCCTTCTCCTCTTCATCCTCGTCATAGTCAAGATCAGTGGGCCTATCCTCGATAGCGGATCCGTTTTTGATGTCACGCACACGACGGAAGCGGAAGCGTCTCATCGCTGCTTCTCGTCGACGGCCACAATTCATCTGTAAGAAAAGGATTGGATAAGAATTCAATCAAAGGATTATCTTCATCGTTCCTGACCTATCAACCCAACGATAGAAAAGGCTAAACCATTCGTCAACCACAACCATAAGATTATATCATTTAAGTTTGCAAAAGTTTAGAGTATGATCCCAAGTCCTTAGCATTTATAAGAAATTCTTTATATACCTCTGGGCAATTTCCAACACAAGCGCTACAGTCACATTGGAAGCGAATCATCGAGCTGTCCGGCCATTTGAATGTCCTGAAAGGAGAGGTTCCTACTGCGACCGAAAGAGTTCGCTGAGTTTGAGAACTATCCGCTCACTGACCTGAAGACTGCCTCAGTTAGACTAGGTCGAATCTTTGTCCATTCGGGGAACAGTTGATCATCGATTGCACAACCAGCTTTATCTGTCAGTGAATATCGGTCCCCGGTCTCGATGTTGATGGCGAAGCAATTGCGAGGCAAAATCGAATAAGTCTCTGAAGAAATCATTTCGAAAATGTCCTTCGAAATCCAGTTGCGTTCACTTACCATTAGGCATAACTTCTAATCGAAGACGTAGAGCCTGTCCGACTACAGCAGCAGCAATGCTCTCGTCAGCCTCGTTGGTGACTGTGAGACGACAGCTGGGACCATGGGCATTATCAGTAAGTGTAGAAGAAGTCGTGAGATCGGAGACGTTCACATTTGATTCCACCTAAAATTAGTAAATGTTTAATTCATCGGCTTCTACAAAAAGTGGCCAAAGCAGCAAGGAGCCCCAAACTCTCAACGGTTCAAACTTGGTAGCAAGTTCAAAAGTCAGTGAAATACTTTCTAGGGGTGCTGATAAAGTTCACATGATTCCTAACCGGAAATCTGCTAAGACATTCTTCACAAGTCATAAGCCTAATCATTTAAATGGTTTCGCTTTGCAACTTCTATTCAAAAATCAGTTTCGCTGGAAAATTAAGTGAGTGGTGAGTCTAAGCACGGGGGACACCAAATAGCGAAAACAATCTTATCAAGTAAAAACGGTGAGGCACGAGTATAACTAATATCCGAGAATCGAAACTTATTAAGATACGAGGTTTCACAAAACCTGTGACTTGGGAGATAACGCGACTGAGGCAGGGACACAGTCAACCTCAAGTGAACACTATGAACCAACTAAACTCTGATACCTCTCGAACTCCAACAGGGTAGGTACATCGGAGGTCATAAGCATCGGCAGCCGTCGTGATGAACATTGGATGCTTTTGAACGATAACGGTCGTTGCGAAAGTGTCCTGAAGTAGGCTCATCGACGGCTATTTCAGACAATGTTTCACTAATTAACTCACTTGGTCTTCCAGACGAACGTTGCAGTGCTCGAATGGAACCTTGAACATGTACGGTTTGGCAGCGTGTTGCAGGGATGAGAAGGTCTTCGCGCAGTACGGATTTTCGGCTTGTCCCCGGACGAAAATTCTTCCCTCAAATGCTGTTGTCTCGTTGCCAAGCACCAGTGTCATACCATCGGGTTCACAGAATACTGAACAAAGAGGTTTGTTGAATATCCCGTAGATATAGACGGAATGTGAGAAATTACCTCCAAGTTCACCGATCTTCAAATGTTGAATGCACGTCTTGCCATCGCCTGCGTAGCCGTCGGGACAGGTACAGGCAAAGGAGCCATGGAGGTTGGTGCAGGTAGCCAGGTGATGACAAGGTGATGAAAGGCACTCATTCACATCTGCAAGTGACAAAATTTTCATTAAGGATTCGAAACGGGAAAGTTTTCATGTGAAATTGATCAGGAAGAAGTTACTCATAATCCGCGAAAGCTTACGAACAATGGAAACCAAGCTGTCGCTCTTCATTTCAGCTTTTTCTAGTTCACGTGAGCCTTTATTCAAAATAAGTCTACCACTCTCACTTTTGGACCATGAGATAGTGTATTGACTTCGCAAATTATTGATTTTGCGCACATAAAATCATTATACTCGAAAGAACTTGCATCATTGGCTTGAGCTTGAATGAAACTTCACTCACCAACACATTTTCCATCTTTTCGCTGCTCATAGCCATGCTTGCAGACACAACTTCCGGATATGCACAGCTCCGTCTCACGATCACAACTGTTCATGCACGAGTTGAGCGGTTCGTTTGATTGATGACGCAACAAAGGAGAAACTGAAGAGGAGCGGCTTGTTTTTATTGGTGCTGTTATAACAACCAGCACTCAATTCCTGTGAACTCACTTTTTATACAGTTGTAGCCGTTTCCACGGAATCCATGCTTGCAGATGCATTGACCAGATGGAAGGCAGATTGCTTCGACATCACAGACGTTCGGATCGGAACGGCAGGAGCGAACAGGGAAGCATGAGATGCCGTCGCCAAGGAAGCCTAAAACAGACTAGAAGTGATGCACCACTCGTGAGGACCATGTGCCTCATCTTATAGTTTCGGCAAGGTGTCAATATCTCTCAAAAACAGTGGGAAGAGGAATGGAACATACGTCTGGGTTACGATGGGGAAATAACTTACTTCTCAAAGACTCTTTCTTCTCCTTCTAAAAAGGCTGAAAGAGAGGAATTTACCGAGAAACGGTTACTTACCTGCTGGTGATTTTGGGGAGGCGGTCTTTGGGTCATAAAAAGAGGTAGGGTTTCAGTTGAGTAAAATATTAAGTTGAGGTTGTTTCATTCGCTTTTTTGCCTATCAGCCAAACTGCCTCTCACCTGTATTACACTTGCAGACCCTTTCATCTCGATCGCACGTAGCATCCGGATGACATACACCCGAGAAGTGAACACAGTCTCGTGGATCAGGTACACAACACAGACCGTTACCAAAGTAGCCAACCTAAAGAACCATCCTTGAACGTTTACACTAGGAAAGGACGACTCCACTCGGGACCCACGTTGCACTGGCACATTCCATCGTTACAGTGAGCGTTTGCATCACATTCAGAACAGTTGACGGATCGTTGATAGAGGGATACACACTTGATGCCATCACCTGTAACATCGGACGATCAAAAAGGAATTGAAATGGTGAGGTAAAGATAAGAAAAAGGAAGAAAACAAGGATAAAAACACTCTAATTAATGGACTCCTACTTAGGAGTGAAAGAGAGAAATGAGAATCAGGTGTCATAACACTATCAATCTCGTCTTACAACCGGACCTACGATTGGTAGAAAGAAAAGGCGCAACCGCAATATGAAGCAGTCAAGCATGCGGTCGCGGCGCAGCAGGCGCATGGTTCAAATATCGCCCTCCTAACAATAAGATCGCTCATGGATCATACGTCTGTCACTGGCGGCTTTCAGAATTCAACGACGCAGCCGACGAGTGCGCATGCGAGCGCTCGTTCGACCGAAGGTGTTGCTGGCTATGTGTTGACAACACTGGACGCCGATGGGGGGCGCGCCAGTGTTGTCAACAAGTGGCTAGCGCCGCCGTCAGTCGGACGCGCACTCGTCTTTTGCGTCGCTGAAGTCTGAAAGCAGTACTTAGTGTACAGTGCACAGCCTACAGTAAGATATGCAGGATAACTCCGAAATTGCATAACAGAAAAGTTGTGACTCTCACTCTTCAGGGAGGTGCAGCACAAACTTTTTGTGACTTTCCAAAAATGCTTACATAAAACATAAACATGGTACTCACCAGTAAATCCTTCCACACATCTACAACGTCTTCCAATGCACAATGCTTCCGGACTGCATAGATCTTTACGAAGGACACAATCCTACAGTAGAATTCTGATAAGCACTGATTCAAGAAGAAAAAATAAAGAGAGACGATACCTGTGGGTCTGGGTTGCATACGAAACCATCTCCAATGTGTCCGAGGTTGCACGAACATTGACGAGTATGGTGATCACAAGAGGCATTTCCATGGCATACCGTTGGATCGGAGACGCAATCAGGACGGACGAATTTTCTGCAGAAAATAACTTTGATGTGGCCATATGAGTTGTTCCATTTTAGCGAGTTTGAACGGCCAAAAAAATGGAAAAAGCGCGGGCGTGCGCGGCGCGTCGAAATGATATCGGGGCGGGGCGGGTCGAAAGGGCGGTACAGGCGAGGACTGAGGCCAGTGCCATCGCTCTCTACAAACTCTTAAATTCAGCTTCCCGATTTGTGAACTGGGTGTTTGGAATGACCTGGGCACCCCATGCCAATTTAAGTGGTTCATTAAGAAACAGTTCTAATTAGCAGACAGTACAAGGGTTACCAATCTACCCAATCGTTACCAATCGTTACTGTAGAGGAAATGGTCCTTTTACTGGAAGCCAAAGAAAACACTGCAACACAAAGGTTCAAAAATTGTTTTACAGTGTACTCACAGTAAGTGTTCGGGTAGATGCAAGGGTTCAGGGTAGCTTCATAAGGGGGATTCCACAAGGAAGCAGATATTGTGGTAAAAATTGCTTTGCAGGAAAGGTTCCTCAAGGTCTCAGAGAACCTCAAACTATGAGGCAATGAGCTTACTTTGCTTCAGGAGTACAAGTTGCAGTATTTCTCAAAAACTTCCTCGATCTTTTTCAAAAGTCCCCGTTCCTGTTTCCTAAACTTTTCCAATATTCGAAGTTAATTGGAACTAACTAATTTTCCAGTTAGTAATCGCACCTTTCGACGGAATGGGAGGATAGTAGCTTCTTTGTGATCTACCTTGTGCACCAATCGATGGCCAATCGATCTGCAGCCACGTGGGAACGCCGGAATTCATTTGGCGTCATTTTTGTCATTTCGCTATTCAAACGCCCACGCTAATGTCCACTTATCTCGAATTTTCTTGCCGTATATTTACTACTTCCTTAATTTACTATAATAATCTGTATTTATACTACTTTTGTTCTAGAAAGGTCTTGTATCCACTTGGACGAAATGCCGACAGCCGTCTGGAAGCACAAAGGAAGTTAGCAGACGAGTTATTTGGGCGACATTCTTTGTTCCCACCTTGAGTATATACGTGAGTTTTTGCGAGTTTTATTGTAAGATTAAGCTCAGTGCCCCGATAACACACTTTTATTTCGACACGGAGATATTGGGAATTTCGGTGTGTTGAAGCAATCCACCACAGTGATTTCCTTCAGAATGTAGTCGTTCTCTTGCGTCATGTTGATGGCATTCATAGTTCAACGCTAGCGTCGGTCGTCGGATCGATACCCCATATAATGCGGCAAAGACCATCGAAAAACGGGATATCGACTAGCAGCCGACGTCAGCGTTTCGGACCATAGCCGACGCTAGCGTCATCGCTGGTACTGCGAATGCATTTATCTGTTCCCATTTTTTTTAGGGAACGAAGTTATTTGATTATTTATGGAGTGATAGAGTTTGTCTCCCCGGGTTATGAAAGGGTTGTCTTGCCAAAGGGATATGGAAGGGTTTAGGATCATGTTAAGGTGACACCGAGATTTAGTCCTCCAATAGCAAACGCTCCGCAAGTACAAGAAAGTCAAAATGCTCAATTAGATAGCTGAAATGCCAAAGTCTCCTCATTCTCCCGTATATGTTTAGGCTAGAGTTAGAGCAAGTTTCGAGATCGCTACTACATGGATCTAACAGCGATCTCGCAGTTTTTTAAGCTGTTTCGCCTTTTTTCTAAGTTCTTCCTTCTTCTTAGAATTTTTCGCTAGCGGATTCTGAATTAATATAAAATTTGAAGAGCAAATGAAATCCGGGTTGTCATTTCTGCTGCGGATAACTGTCATCGAAAATAGAAGCATATACTTTGTTGTACACTCAGGTTTCTACTAAAGAAAAGATTCTTTCGTAGATATTGGAATCGAGCCGCACCAGAATTGTGCTTTATACTTTTTTCATATGCTTACAGAATGCATCCCTCAACATCTAAGCACCTAACAAGCATGTTCAGTTGTTTCTTGCTGATCACTTTTCTATTTAGTGCTGTGATAAAGAAAGCTGAGCTTTCAGAGAATTTAGCTCCGGATGAAGAACTTCTACCAGTGTTACTATGTGAGAAGCAGTTGCACGAGGAAGACAACTGCCGACTACAGACAAGCCTAAGGTCAGTGTCCATTTAGTAGGAAATTTTTTGAGTGTATTTCAATCTTCCTTATAGATCAAAGCTCCTTCAAGCCTCTTCACATTTTTTTCAACAAGTATTTGTACAACCTTGTAGTCCTAGGAAGGAAGGAAAGGTGAAGTCAGAAGGAGAGATAGCTAAAGGATGGAAAATCCTGATTGAGTATCGCTTCAAGGTTCTAAATACTTCAGTTATGCTTAGATAATTCGCTTTCTATGATATTACGGGATCTTAATGTTTATTTCTCAATGCCATGTATTTCTCAATGTCGTGGATCTTTTTCATCATATGCCTTTTTCAAAATCAAAGGTTTGTATGGTTAAAGCAGTGGGTTCAAAAAATGGTATGAGCATAAACGAATACTTGCATTCCCACATAGTTCCCCACAACCCCGCTCACCATGCCCGAGGAGTCTTCGAGAACTCGTCCAGGCTAGGCGAAACAGGTGACAGAGCGTCTCATTACATCCATTGTTCTTGTTCCCGGCACTCGCATTTTGATCAGTACTCTAATCATTAAAGCATTAGAAATACTCACGTGCAATTTGTGTACCCATCTCCAGCAAAGCCGTCCTTGCATCGGCATGAGCCGGTTGCCACCTCACATATCGCCAACTCGTGGCACATTGATCGGTCAGTCGACGTGCATCGTCGGTTCGTGACTTGTACCTCACCCGTTGGTGCCGCAGTGCTTTCGAATGATTCCACCACAACTTTGAGGTCATCTTCAGTAGTCGAATGAAGTTCTGAGTCAACAAAAATATCAGATTCTGTAAAATCGGGTTTGGGCGGTGCGATACTGCTGGTGGGTGCATCAGTGATAGGGCGTGACGGTGCAGTTGATGGTGCAGTGCTAGAAACGACTGGAAGAGTGGTGTGCAAAGTGAACGACTGAGGTGATGAAGCAGCTGGAGGATTAGGCGAAGGAGGTGTGGTATTAGTTGTTACAGATTTGGGAGGGCTCGACCTTTCCTTTTGAGTTACGGCTGGGACTTTTGTGGTGAATGTTGGTGGAGTGGTGGAGAGCACATCCATAATAGTTGTGGTGATGTTTTGACGGTCTTGCTCCCTGATGGGAGGTGGGGAACGTTGCCCAGATCGCGTCGTTGTAGTTTTTGTAGGCAGGTTCGTTGCTCTTGTCGGTGAAACATTGCCTGGATGAGGCTGTCCAGGATCCATTTCACCGTCTATCTTGATCATAGGTACAACTGTAGGCTTAGTTACGTGGATATTTTCATTTTGTTTAGTTGTTTTGGTTGTTTGCCCGACAGGCGTTGTGACTACACCTGGTTGCTGTACATCAGGAATATCAGGTCCAATAGTGGTTGGCAGGGTCCCAGTTCTCACACTCGACCTGGTTGGTGCTCTCGATGTCTCATGGGCAGTTGTGGTGTCTGAAGTTGAATCGTGTTTTCTCTGTGGCTTAGTTACATCTGAGGGAGTTGATGTCGTAGGCTTAACTGTCGAAGTCCTTGTTGTAGCAACATTTGGGTGAGGCTGCTCAGGAATCATATCCCCGTCTACCTTGGTCATAGGTCCTACTGTAGGTGATATAGTTACCTTGAAATTTTCGTTTTGTTTTGTAGTTTCAGTTGGTTGCTTCGTAGATTGTTTCACCGGGCCTGGTTCCTGTACATCCGGAACATCAGGTCGAGGAGTGGTTAGCGATGTTCCAGNGTGGTTTCCGGGCGTGAAGTGAAATCGAGTTTCTCTTTTGATCCAGTGACTTCTGAGGGCAGATTGGGAGTAGACATTGTGTTCCTCATAATCAGACCTGTCGGATTTGGTGTTGTCATAGCGCCTGGGGAGCTAGGCTGCTCAGGATTCATATCCCCGTCCACCTTGGTCATAGGTCCTACTGTATGTGCTACAGTTACCTTGACATTTTCATTTCGTTCGGTCGTTTTAGAAGGTTGCCCAACAGACGATGTGACTGAACTTGGTTGCTGAACATCTGGCACATCAGGTCTATTAGTGGTTCGCGAAGTTCCGGTGCTCCCTGTAGCCATTACTGTCGGGTTTGTTGACGGAGCAGCGCTCGGGCGGGGCTGTTCAGGATTCATTTCTCCGTCAACCTTGGTCATGGGTCCTACTGTTTCCGCTACTGTCACTTTAGAATTTTCATTCTGTTTTGTCGTTTCGGTTGGTTGTACAATCGGATCAGTGACCTTGTTTGGTGCTTCAGAGCTCGTTGAAAGGTCCAGATTTGGTCGCGGTGAGGTAGTAACAGAATCAGGACTGCGTGACCGCTCCGTTTCAAGTTGTCCCGGTCCGGGAGATTTGTTTTTATCATTAGGTTTGGAAGAAGATTCTGGTGTAAATGGTTCCTGTGTGTCTTGAGTTTCCGGTCCAA